ATAAAAAAAGATAACATGAGAAATTGTGCCTCCAAGGCCAGAAGCTTTCAAAACCTCAGCCCTCATTTAATACTCCGGATAAGAAGCCTTTATTTGCTTTACAGAAATGGGAAGATTTAACTAGAAAATATTAACTGAGAAATGGCCATAATGCAGTTTGTTTGGGGTACCGATGTTAATATTTTGCATGCAGAAATTAGAAAATGCCGGCTCTGAAATTAAACTGAATGAGTACATGGGAAGCATATCTTAATTTGGAAATTAGAAGCTTCTAGAGAAAAGCACAGGAAAAATTTATTCTAATAAGATGGAAATTAATAAAATTTTAGAGACTGTCTCAGAACTATTCTGAAGTTAATTAATGTCTACACTTTGTTTTTCCTTTAGCCCATTGTTTGTTTGTTTTTTGAATAGTCCATTGGGAATATACTGAAATTCTAGAGAGGGGAAGTTCCTGAACCAGGGACAAAAGACACTGCTTTGGTAGTTTCTAATGCTGGACATTCTCTGGTGCAAACTTTTAGTGTGTACTGTGTGCCTATATGAGTGATGTTTTTGTGTCTCTTTGTTGTAGCGAAATAGGAAAAAAATGTAAAATGTCATTCTATTAAACATGACTTTGGGAAAAATACGCCATTTGAGTCATTTGCTGAAACTTCCCAAAGCAGGATGTGGGGAAGGGAAGGGACGCCTCCTCCCGAGTATTCTAATTTAAAGTCTCCTTGTAATTGAAAAGTTTTACAAAATTCAAAAATGTGTCTGGGATTTCTGTTCACATGTAAAGAGAAAAGCTGGTTTAAAACTAATGCACGCAATTGTCCTGTTTTTGGACATTTAGATAGAGTTTTGAGCTGGAATCTCTTCACAAATGTACAGAATAAAACCCAAGACTGATTATTTCCTAAGAAAAATGGCGAATTTTACCCAGGGAAGAAATGCAGGCTTGTTCTAGCAACAAGCCTCCAAAAGAAAATTCGGTAAAATTGTCTCTATTACAAGTTGTTTATTGGTCTGATTTAAAAAAAAAAAGAGGACAAACTCTGTGATCTCAACTGAAATTCTTGATGCAAAAACCAGTTTAAATTTGATTGCAGAGAACAGCATAGACAGCCACTACTTTGGGCTGCGTGACTTGACAGCCACCATGATGGCCACATGGCTGGCTGCTCCCCTGGGGGCCGCCATCTTGAAATAGCAAAGGCCAACCCCTCCCTTTGAATTAGCCAATCATGGAAGACCATGTGCCTGAGCTCCAGTCAGGAGCAAGGGACGGGTCACTGGGTTGTTACAGATTGGGAGTTTATGAATTATTTTCAATGTTGAATACACTGCTTGCCATAAGCCATGTGCCTCATTTTAAAATCTTACATATTTATATTATAGAAAAGCAAAGTTTTTTTTTTATCAAATCTATAACCATGCCACTTTTAAATTTTGTCATTCGTGGAAAGCTTTATTCTGATGCATTTGTAGGTATATTATATGTTTGGAAAAAATCCATGAAAAGGACTTTGA